ATGAATAAGTAAATAAATTGATTATTTAAATAAATGCAGTATTTATTTGACTAATGGACGGTCTTCTAAAATTAGTCTCTTGAACTTGTACTGTTAATCTTCCTCCCTTACACAATTCATATTTGATCTAATAAGGTCAGTGTATGATCTGCTTAACCTTACGAGATTATTAATTGACCCCTCTTGTACTATTTTGTTTATCTATTTGCTTTTAAACTGAACAGATCGCTGAATAAAAACAATAAAATAATTTAGTATTTTTGTAGCTATTAAGTTATTTGCTCCAAAATGTTCACACAGTAGATGTTTTGAATTATTCCACATTAACTAAATACTCTTTTATGCTATTTACAAATGATTTTATACTGATTAAATTTGAAAATATAAAAAATTAAGCCATCAAAGATTAGCAGTTTGGTAAATTTTTAGTTTCAAGCCAAATCGTTGCAAATATTTGGTATTCAAATTAGCTCGATTGAATAATTCCTTAACGAGGCTTACAGCTAACTGCATAAAATACTTGGTATTAAGAGTAAATTTAACGCATGCATGAATAAAATTAAATTACTCCATGTAGGAAGTATTTAAAGCTTTTTGATGACTTAAACGTTAAACATTTTGTTCTCAAGCAGAAATTTGGTACGTTTGTTTTCAAATTTGTGCATCAATTACTTTATGAATTATACTTTAAAATTAAAAACTTATGCTTGGACAGACTTTCAAGTAACTTTTTGTTTGAGTAAGTGAGCAAAAATAATAAAGAAAAATTAATCAGAGCTAAAACTTTGCAAATTTAATAATTTTCCAAAAATTATTTAAAAACAAATAATTATGTGTTTAAATCAACGTTTTACGTGTTTAAAGTTTGACGCTGATGTGAAGTATAGAAGAATGCACGTGGCGAATTTTAGTATTCAAATTTCTTTCGTCAGAAAGCAAATTAGAATGTCAAGCGAAAAATATTAGTACCATTTCAAATTTTAAGTTAAAATATGGCATAAATTATAATTTGATTTTGAATATTCTGCTCTAAAAAATTCTAAATTTCGTTGCGAATTTATTTTGAATTTGTTATGAAGTGGAATATTAGTTTATATTCTTATTCAAATACGTGAATACAATTCATTTATTTCGGTGATTTTTATAGTTCCTTGATTACTTTGACTTAATTATCTAAATTTATCCAAATTTTTGTTGATTTGAGTTAGGAATTACTATTCTGCATGCTTTCTTTACTAGCAAATCATGAGTAATACTACGAATTTTTAGTACTTTGGGATATTCTCATACTATTCAGATGAATAAATAAACAAACAGAAACCATACAGTTAGGAATCCGATAAGTTTTATGTTTGAATTGAATATTAAAAATATAAAGTTAGAAAAATAATCTTAAAATTAAAATAATTTTAATTATTGTTAATAAAGTAATTATAATGATGAAAAATTAAGCATATCCAAATGATGAACAATTTATAATTAAATTCAATACATTAATTAGTATTAATATTAGTTACTTAATTTTTTCATTCTGCTTATAAAAATCAAAAATTCTTTATTTACTTTTCTAGCAATGGAATTTAATCTTTTATTTTAATTATTATGCAAATACAATACAATAATTGATACCCATGATCGATTTTGAATGAACAATTTAATAATTATCATATTAACCAAACAATCAGACAAGCGAAAATGAATAAATTTTTACATCATTTTTATTTTTTGTACAAAAATAGCAAATAAAACAAGTATATATATACATACACTTTCCTTTTGCATTAATGCAAAATAAAAATATTTAAATTATACATTTTGTTAATACACAAACAAAATGTAAGCATAATTATCGTTTCTTGTAAGGTTAAATGTCAAATTTCGATTTGATAATTATATTTGTTGTGTATGATAGTCACACTCAAAAATTTACAGTAAATAAAATGTACAAGTAAAGTAAGCCAAAGAGTTAAATATTTTTAATAGTTTTATCCGGAAAAAATATATAAAAAATTGACGAATAAAAAATTTCTAGCAATTTTAAATAATTACTATTTAAAAGAGTAACATCACGGAAAAAGATATTACTAGTACCAAAAGTGGCGAATGAGAAAATGTATGGCAAAACGAAAAGCAATGCGGAAAAAAATTTAATTAAACGTTAGAAAAACTAATGTAGCCAATTTAGTTTGAAAAATTAGGATTAATTCCCACTGAAAAAAGTTATATATAGTACATTTTTTCTATTTTCTAGCATTAAATTTGCGTTGTTAAAATAAAAATTTGCATAAATTAAATTGAATTGGACGATCTGATCTTGAAAGAACTGATTTGAAATTTGCATATTTAAGTCAGTAACAAATCTTTCAGCCATTTTTGAGAGTTAATTCGATAAACTTTATTTTCCAACAAAAATTTTTAAATTTTAAAATATTTTGAGTTATTTAATTAAGTACCAATTATTTTTGCTTTTATTTTGGGTTTTGATAGCAATAGCTTAATACTGTTTTCGAAGTTAATTTATTTTTTATGGTATTAAATACATTCTAATAAATAAACAAAATTTTGAAAAATAGCGAAAGTAATGTAAGGCGAAAAGTATTCAGAAGAAAAGGCAACTAAATAAAATAACAGTTAAGATGGATTTAATATTTTCGATATTATTAAATTTTAACAATAAATATTTGGTAGAAATTAAAAAAATAATCATTAATGCAATGAAAAAGCTATTTTTAGAAGTAACAAATGTAAAGTGAAAGTTGAAGTATCGCTTACAAAATTAAATTAGTCGTACAAATGAATATTTATAACTTAATTCTTAATCAGTCATACTGTAGAATAATTAGGTATTTCGGCGTAAAATTTGGCGTAATTACAATGTGAAACGTGGAGTATGATGCACTTCAATAACATTTATGTAATTGAATCTAATTTGCTTAACTTATTGATGAAATTATTAGCATGCAAATATGCAAACAGAAGAAGGAAATTGATGGAATTGAAACTTAATCGAAATATCTATCAGAAATGAAAATTTTTAACTGAAAAAGAAGGCTACTATAATACAAATTTCACAGTGGTACCAAATATACGAGCAGAATATGGTAAATCTGAAATAAAAATTTAATTTAAAGTGAAGTAATTAGGGATTGGCAAAAATAAAGATATTAACAGCTATACAAATTTTGACAATTTTAGCACAAAATACATCACAGGCAAAGCTCCGATCACAAGCATGGGATTAAGTATATCTAATTACTTGTATATTAATTCTTAAATATATCAAGAATTCTTTAATATATACAAGTAATTAGATCTATTGTTGCTTTTACATTACACGAATATTTTTTACATATAACCAAGTAAGTAAACGCACATAATATTATCCATGTAATATCTGTATATTAATTCCAATAAGTCTTAAAATTGTGATCAATTTAAAACTCTATTATTATGCTTAAGTTCGATACTGAATATTACCGAGTAATCTTAAAATTATCAATAAGTCTGATCAAAAGAAAAGTGATAAGATTATTATATTAAAGTAAAGCAAGAAAAAAGCATAAGAAGACAAATAACCAAATAATAAATAAATAAGATCCATTTCTAAATGGAAATGGTCTAATTAGTTGCATTTGAATTTATAAATGCTTATAAATACAATGGTAAGAAGAAAACTCATCCACCTGATCAAATCAATCAATCAATAATTATCATCAATAGTTCTCTCAGTAATTTGCTAAATTCAAATTTATGGTGCATCATTTGTTTGAATACCACTATCAGTAGTATCATTTCCATCTTCTTCTAAATTTCGATGAATTTCAACTTTCATTCGGGAATCTGAGCTTGTGGCTTCTTCCTCCTTCTCAAATAATGTTAATGCATCATCGGTAAATCCCGGGATGCGTACCTGCGCATCAGCAATTAATGCAGCTAATTCATCACTATTAATCGATACTGCATCACCACTCACTTGCGATCCAACAGCACCCGTCTAAAATTATTTTCAAAAACATTACTCTTTGACTATAAAACATTAACTTCGAACTAAAGTAATAAGTTAATAAATCTTTTTGTTGTTTACAAAAATCGGTAATGCTACAGTATTACTACAGTAACAGAAATTGCCTTTTTTAGTAATTGCTGTTAAAAAACATACAGAAGAATCATCATCCAAATCACATATCGAACTGCCCCGTAACTGAGAATGCGTCCATTTTTCAGCTCTCTAAAGATTTTAAAAGTAATTGACTACGTAACTACATGAAAATTACATTAAATTGCGAATACTGTAAAGCAGTTTTGCTCTAAATAGCTCTAAATGAAAGTTATTTGAGAAAATAAACTTTATTTAAATTTACCGCGTCTTTTTTCAAACTGAAGGATTTCCTTACGTATAGTAAAAAATAAACATTATTATTATTATTATTATTTTCAAAAACATTACTTTGCAGTCAACAAATATATTTACAGTCGACAATTCACACTACAATTTGCAATGTGGGCTTAATGCACTACAAAATTATATCTCTAAAGCATCACATCTACACACTGTATCTTCATATTACAATAAGTCTGTACTGTATTTCAATTATGATACTGTGAAGAAACATTTTTCAGAAACTTTACTTGAAATTGAATACGTACTGTATAATTACTAATTAAAAGATTTTTGTAGTTTTTTCACAATTATTTTGGTGAAAATTTATTTTTAAGATAAATTTTTTCTTAATATTAAAAAATATCAGTAAAACTAATCAAAAAATATTATTAAAACTATGAAAAACCATCAATTAGCCAAAAATGATTTCAGAATATACAAGCTATAAATAATAAAAATTGAAATATGCCAGTTGTTGTAGCTAATTTTACAACTAAAATGCATACCAATGCTTAAACTAATAATAAGTTAGCTTAGGAACTAAAAAAAGGAACTAAGGTCGATTTTTATCAGTTTTAATTCAATTAATTGTACTTTAATGATTACAATATGGCTAAGTTTGACCAGTGCAGAGGTCATTCATTAATAATAAACAAATACCTTAAGTTCAAGATGTGTTAGAGCACGCTTGAGGTCAGCAATATTTTGCATGGCTTCACTATATTTCAATCGTTCCATTACCGATTTTTCTTGCAGTTCACTTTCTGCTTCAATCGCTTTCCGCCTTTCTTCTTTAATTTGATCACAAAGCTCTTTTTCATGCTATAAGCAATCATCTTTATCCCACTAATCATTGAAGCTACTAATGATAACGATTGTCAATTATAATTGTGATAATTGTTATCATTATAATGAGTGTATACTGTATTTCAATTATGATATTATTGAAGGAACAATTATGATATTATGATAATTGTTATCACAATTATGATTGATAATTGAATGCATATTACAGTTTTACTGACTTGTAAAATTTGTTCCTTTTCTTCTTTCAACCGTTTCAATTCCTCGTCTTGCCGTTTGAGTTGGTTCGTGCAAACGTGATTCTGCAATGGATATCTGTTAATTATGTTATTTGAATAATCAGTATAAAATAAGTTAGTTAAAAAATCAGTGCTTAGCTTTATCTTTATAATTACTGTACGCTAATTACCTCATTTTGATTTTCGAAATTATTTCACATTAATCATAAAGTCAAATATTTGTTTGCAGCATTAACATAGTATATCAATCTGCCTATTTTATAATTCAAATTCAAAATTTTGGTAATTTGTTTTTCAGAGCTTAATGCTTTTTCAATCACAATTTGAGTCTAATTTGTGCGAATAATTTGTTAGCACAAAAGCATGCAATAATACTTAATTTTAATTTGAATACACAATTTTTGTATCGAAATAATGAATGAAATTAATTTTGCCATCAAAAATGAGTTCAGTAAATTGATTAAAGTTTGATTACTTATCAGTTTATTCTTGACAAATTTAATTATTTACTTGCAAAAAATACGCTTTGCTAATTTGTTTACTGTAAATATATTTTTTTCTAGAAATTAAATTTAATTAAAAAAAACAAAGAGTACTAACTTGGGTTTCCAATTCCATCACTTTTTGACGCATTTCTTTTAATTCAGCTACGGTATCCGCCTCTCGAATTCGCACTCCCATTAACTGATCTTCAAGCTCCTTCACTGTAATACAACCTAAAACTATTTTGAAGCCAGCATTCTATAATAATTTGTATACGGCATCAAACTTTTGAAAAATTTTCATCTTGAATGCTTTCACAGCCTTATTAATTTCACAGCACAGTATCAGATTTCCAACAGTATTAAATTTTTCAAGGCGTAAAGCTTTTAATCATAACAGCCCTTACTTTAGAATACAATTAGTTAACAATTACGCCAAATTTCCTTCTTTGAAAGTTTGCAAAAATATTCACATAAAAATATCTAAAATATGTTATAACAAAAAAAAAGATAATATATTTACAATCTTTGCATTATTTCTTACCTGAGGAATCAGAAGCAGAAACAGATTCAGCTGATTCCGTATTTATGCTTCCAATAAAACTTGCTGTCAATTTTGCTAAACGTTGCCGCGCACTTTGAGATACAGTACCACTAGTAAGTATTGATGCTAACTGCTGCGATTTTTCCACGGATGCAGAACCTGCAATAGTAATCTTTGGAAGGAATCATTATTTTATCATTAATTATTTAATTTTAGAGTAATATTTTTAGAGTAATGCTGCATTTGGCATTGCAGAGTACTCAAAAATTATTCACAAATGGAATATTGGACGAAAAATGAATAGAGACATAAAATTTAAGATTTATTTGGTAGTTAAATACTTTCAATTTTTCTTCTCTGTGAAAATAATTTTACAGTTTTGATAGCTATAATTATTTATCAATTTTAAAAGTATTTTGGTAAACATTAAAACATTATAATATTAAAAATATAATAATAATGTTACGTAAAAAACGTGATAACCTGAAGACGCTGTAATTGAAACATCTTGTGAATCCCCTGCAGCCATACTGCCGTTTGACTGCTTAGATAAATGAGAAAGAGTTGCTCGACGTTCTAAGCGTACTTTTGACGTATCACTGTCTAGTACACGACTACTAACATACTTCTGAAATTAATTAATAATTATAGCGTAATCTATACAGAAACAAAAGTTTGATATTATAATTTTAAAATTAGATATGGATAAAAAAAATATGTGTAAACTGAATTAAATATTAATACAAAATAGAGCATTTTTTGGTTTCTTTTTATCACTTTCAATAAAAATTGATTTCATTAATAATTTTGAGGTAAAAAGTCGACCGTCCAATGTTGCTCTAATTCAGAAAGTCGTTGTCTCATTTCCTTCAACGATAGAGAAGCTTCAGCTTCACGCATTTTCACGGATATCAGCTCTTCTTGTAAACCAGCAATGCCGTCGTCAGGAGGACGTTCACGTAACCTTTTATTCGCCAATTCTAATTCCTAAACATATATTTAACTGATTTGAGCAATTATATACTTAACTAAAAAAATTGCAATATTGACTAAAAACTATGTTACTGACTTAAAAAAATAAATAAATTCTGGAAGATTTGATAGACGTCTCTTCAGCTGATTTGCAAATTTTATGAGAATACCGTGAGTAAATGCAAGATAACTTGTCATTTGGTACCTCCAGGGATAGTAAGTCATCATATCTCCCGGTATGTTCATGCTATCTCTTGGGACCTGAGTTTATAGTACCTGAACCCGTAGTTTTAAATCTTTAATGCTATTTTCATTATCTGCTTCACGAGCACGAGTTTCGATGAGTTCTTGTTGCAAGGCATGAATATGCTCAATCATCGACATATCATCTACTTGAGTTGCGCATTCTGTTAATTCTTCATTTTTCTACAAAAAAAATTGATTTGATTAAAAAATCAACCGATCAAGTATTCAAATGGAAGGTAGAAGGTCAACAGGAACTAAATTTGTACTCTTAATTTAATTTTTTATTTAAATTTACAACCCTTTTATACTGCATTTTTGTGATAAAATCAAACTAAATCTAATTAGTTCAAAGTTCAAATACAAATTTTGACTTAAAAATCAATTTTACGTCTTTAAGTACATTATGTTTTAAATTATTAGTGCAACAAACTGACTAAAAAATCTAAATCTAAATTTAGTCTAATATAAATTAATTATTCCCCTTAGCATCGAATTATTCATATTTTTGCTCTAAGATTTTGTGCAAAATTAAGTAAGTTTTAATAAATATATCAAAAGTTCTATATTTGGTAGAGTGCTCTCAAACATGCAAGAATTCAGACAAAGAATTTTTAATGCAATCTTTTAAAGTAATAACATATAAATACAATCTTATTAAGCATTTTAATCATCATTTTTGTTCTATTTTTTGCCACAATAATATTTTAGCTTTGTATAATGAAAATATAATTATCTCGCAAATGCATTCACATATTTTTTTAATTAAAAGTAATGATTTTCTGAGAGTTATACTCGTGAAAGTCTTCTTTTTTAGTATATTTTTATCCTTCTCGGAATTATGATTGTGATGTATTTACAGCATTGCATTAAATTAGAATAATAATATTTGTAAAATTTATTTCCAAATTTAATTAAGTATTTAAGTTGATTAAAGTATATCTCCTTTTATAGGCATTTCTTAATAATTTAAGAGCAAATCGCATTAGTAATTGGGATTACTTTTCCGATTTCTGAAGTAGAAACAAAGTAAAAGAAAGATTCATATTTTTAAACAAAAAAAAAGTAAGAAAATAATTTTGTTAACCAAAGAAAGAAAATAAAAGTGTTATTTTATTTATATCAGCAAATTCCAATATGTATTTGAGTTCTGTGTTTGGCCAGATGTGGAACTAAAAGATATATCGATGGCATTAGAGAAATAAAAAGGAATACTTTATTTTCTATTTGTGACAGGCATAAAAAATATAAAGGAGATTAACTTTATTCAGCCTAAAATAATCCATCATATGACGAATTTCTTCAATAATTTTTAATTAAACGACTAAAAAATATACTTAATATTATTTTTTTAAATTAAATTGAAATTATAATTGAAGTGCTTTTTTACAAAAAATGAAAACATGTTAATAAAAGTTGATTATTTTTTAGCAAAAAAATTAACTGTAAATAATTTTTGATTAATTTTTTAAATTCGAATGCAAAAAAACTCTGTGTGAAATGAAAAAACGGTTGCAAAATGTACAAGTTAAATTAACAGTTAGGCAGATTATCAAATTAGAAGATAACAAACTTTGCAGCTTAAGTCTCGAATAGTATCATAAGCTTCTTCTAATCGTCGATGAGCATCTGAATTGATGTCTCGAAGTTTTAGTAACTCGTGCGATATACTCATGCAGTTTTCAGCTTCTTGAGCTAAATTGACCTGACCTTTGATGAGACGATCAGCTAAAGCTGAACTTTCTTGTTCCAAATAATCAATTCGCTGTCTGAGCAAACGGTTTTCCGTTCGTAATCTCTGAAATATTGCAATATTTAAATTTGAAATAAAATTTTAAAAAAAATTAAATTCCATTAAATTTTTTATATTAGTAAGTTTTTTGAATTCGCAACAATTTTTGTATGCTTTAATTTCAAAAAATATTGCAAATTATTTCCAAAATAATTTACACTAATGCTGTCATTTCTTCATTTGAAAAAAGACAAACACTTCCGCCAACTTTTCCGTTCAAAAATTTTGAATATTCTAAAGTTTGCTAAATTCTAAAATCAGTTCTTAAACACATTTTCAAAAGTTCAGTGCATTTTTTAATCAGTTACAACGAGTAGCGATTTATTTTTTTAAAAGATCTATAATAAATTTTAGAAAAACTTAAAATGCATTTTCAAATTTGTATGCAATTGATTTTTTTAATTTGTAATTTATGTTCTTCTAAATAGGGAGACTTCAGAATCAATCGGATTCAAACCAAATCAGATTCTGTATATTATATCAAAACTAAAAAGTTTAATCTATTCATCTAATTGTTCATTTCAACAAATTTTCTGCTTTATTTTGTTTCAGTACGTTTTAAATGCTCTGTGTTACTTTGAAATTTAAATATTCACGAAGCAAGTGATACTTTCGAACAAATTCTGCACTTTAATCCGCTGAATTATAATACAGCGAAAGTATTTTAATAATAACGTAATAGGAAATGAAAATTTGAATTGAAATAAAACTTGAAACTGAAAACTGGATTACTCATCAGTTATTGAAACTTGAATTGAACTTTAACTCGATTGAATTTCTATTTGATCGGAATTTAATTTTTGCGAAAATCAAAGAGGAACAAATTTTACGTCAAACTGAGAACATAAATTTTGAATCAAATTCAGATATAAATTTTAGAAAGTACTATTTTTGCCTCGCACAGAATACTTTGCCAAAATGAAAAAACCTTTAAAAATAAATAAAATGTTTCTTTTTTTCTTAAATGTAAAATCTTAAAAAGAAAAATTTTTAAATACACAAACAAGTTTTCGAAATAATCAAAAAATTACTATCGAATTTGAATGGTAAAGAAAGTTTTGACGATTTTAAATAGAATTAAAAAGTTTTTGATGATATAGTACTTATACAAAATTCAGTACTGCTTTGAAAGTATACGGTATTTCGATTCAGACACAATAACTTTTGAATTACTAATTTTTAACAATTTACTTATAATTTTTGAAAATGATCACATAGATTGAAAAATATGCAATGCAAACTATGAATCTAAAAAAAATTCAAATAATAAGTTGGAAATCAATTAAAATGTCTGAGATTACTGTATGCAAATTTTTTCAGACACTTGTTGCGCATAACACTGCTAAAAATTCAATGGAAATCATAAATTTCCACTGCTTATCAATCAAAAATTAACGATAATTAACCAATAACTTTCATAAATCCGTCTTAGTCCTGACTTAATTACTAACAATAATAATGATAATAATAATAATAATGATTACAATAATGACATTAGCGAATAATATTATTACCAATAAATACTGACAATAATGACAAAGTGAAGCAGCATTCAAAAATGTTCAAGCTGATAAATACAAGAATATGATGATAGTAAAAAAAAATGGGTCAAAAAATTTTTAAATAAAAAAACTTCTAAATGAATTTTTTACTAAAATCAAAAATTTAAAGAAAAAATACTGATAAGAAATAAATTATATTACATTAAACAAACAAACCTTCTTTGTCCATTGAAACTTTTGCCATGTTTTACGTTTTCGGAAGACCATTTTTATTTTTGATATAATTCAGTTTGAATTATTAAGCTAAATTGGTTAATCATATTCTTTATTGACATTATATTAGTAGTAAAAAGGTGATTAAATTTTCATGATAAGAACAGGTTAACAAACAGGTTTATTTTAAATTGATCATATTAATTCCAATCTTAATTAACCACATTAATGCTTCAAAGAATATTTCGTGGAAATGGATGATTCCCCATTAAATATTTAAATTTGTAATCGCTGAACTTAAAATAATTATAAATTTAAAACAAACTGAAAAAAAAGAAGAATTGATTCGACGTGAATTAATATTTTAGGCATAATATTGTGAATAATGAAAACAAATAGGCACTGTATCAAAGCAATATTACCTTAAAATAATTACGTGATCATAAATTCCTAATTCAATTCAAAAATTATTTCTCCCAATTTTCATAGCTCCAATTGGAAAAAAATTCATAATTAATCAATGGAAGGTAGGGAAGACAGTAATAGTAGTACACGTGTTAATTTTTAGAAGATAGCACTACGTGATGTCAAAATTTAGAACTTTGTATGTCAACACAAAAAGAAGTAATTTGATTAGACGTATCAAAAAAGTTCAAATTTTGCTTCCAGAAAACTTAAAAAATAAAACGTGAAAATTCTATTCAAATGTAAATATTTTCTTACTTGTTATTAATTTCTCTAAAATCAGCTACCATACACCGTCATGGATGCTAAAATTATGTAGTCTAATCTTAATCTAGCAATAAATTATCATAAATTATGCATTGATTTTGAATATTTTACTTTCAATTTCAAAGTATTATATGGTACATGAGAGATAATTCCTGGTAAAAATAGTGATTTTAATCCTTAAAATTTGAGAACTTATAGATTTTTCGAGTTTTGCAACTAATAATATATTGCGAATACTCGAAACAAAAATGGGCCAGAGGTGCAGATGATAATTTCGTTCAACATGACGACTATTTAAAATTCTTTACTCGATAATCCCAGAGGTTTCTCCTCATAAATCCCAGTATACTCATTTTTCTTCAACTAAATCTGCTTTTTAAAATTCTTTTCAAACTATAGTATCTCAGTTTCAGTTTTCAATCAATTGAAAATTAAAATGCTCAAAATTCAAATTCAATACCAAAAATTAAATTTAAATTTCAGCACTTTCTTCAGTATAAATTGTAAAAAAAATAATTTTAATAAATTTGATAAAACTTTTTTGAAAGTATAATTTTGCAAAAAATGAAATCATAGTTGAATGACCAATGTATTTTGAATGACCAGTGTTAGTTAGTTCTCAGTGTGCGGACAATCTTTTAAAAATTTAAAGTGACCAAAAATAGAAGTAAAATTTAATCGGACACAATCAAACAGATAAAATTTCACCGCGTAATAAACATTTATTTATCAAAAGTTTAAAATTTTCCATTTTACTTCCCTCATCACGTTATGACTCATTAAAAGCGATATACTTTGAATGATTCATAAATTAGTAATCCGTAAATTCAGACAAGTATTACATTCGAACGATTTGTAAAAAGTGAACCAGCAGGTATTTTTAAACGATCATTTTGGATCTGAAAAGTACTGAGTACTGCTTCATAACATACAAAAATAAAAATTTATTATTTTTGCGACCAAATTAAAAACTGCAAATTTTCTAATTATAGAAAATAATTCTTTAGTTGTTAAATGCATTTTTACCAAAGTCAATTTTCATTTCGATTTAAATTAATTTTAATTTTTTTTCAAATGCAAGAAGTTTTCTTTTTTCTTTTTTTAAATACAACAGAAACACGTGTATTATGTCCAAGTACACGTATATGTATTTCATAAGTAAGTAATTTTTGACACGTAAGTCAAAAATATTTACTTGATAGAAAAATTACTTACTGATGACAATAGAGAAGGTAAAAAGAGTACAAAAGGTAAAATGATGGCAAACAACACCGCAATGAGCAACACAAACGATAAATTTAGTCAAATGGAAAGAAGTTATGCAAAACCGGCCATTTTCAAATTGTCGTTTGCTATCTAAAGTACAAACTCTTAAATTTTCACGCACGGACCGACAGTGACACGCAGACATACAAGTGACATTCTTACGTACTCACACGCACACACACGTGAATGCATAAACACAAATATATATGCATACAATTATGAATTAATTAACATATGTTTATTTACTCCTTAACGTAGTACACTTACTGACACTCGCAGACAATGCAAACAGATACGAAGACATACACACATGTATGTACACATTAAACCTATGAATAATAGTTGTGAAAATTGACGTACATAATGATAAATAAAATATCAACACAAACATACGCATACGTGTTTGTATATATTTTCAATTATATTTACGTTCAAATATGTTTTACGTGTACTGGCAAAAACATAGCGATGTTCAGAAATTAGCATATCTTTGTTGGACTGTACATAATTATGGCAAATTTAATGCTGATAACATAATATAAGAGGATTAATTGAATAATGATTTTATTGAAATTTAACCGAAATACTTAATACTTTTTAAATTTAATCTGAACATTAGTAACTTATTAATTTAAATTGATCAAACACTTATTATTTGAAATTTTAAGTAGTGATATAAGTTCTACTAAACTTGCTCAAATATTCTCTAGCATTTTTCGAATTCAATCTCAGTGCTAATTATAAAGTAAATTGGGTCTAACTGATATTTATATTCATTTATTTTATTACTTATTATAAACAAGTAAGTATATAAAACTGAATATACTTAATTAGAGACACTTTTGAATACACACAATATTAAACTTTGTACAAAAAAAAATTTTCAAAAATCACTTATATATTTTGGTTAAGATCGATCAGGAAAGTGATGGAAATATTTTAAAACAAATCTTTTTTTAATTTGATAAAATACAAATTTCGCTCAATAATTATGGCTTATTTTTATTATTATCAAAAATAAAAATAAAAACTGGAAAATCGATTGATATTTGAATAATATTCATTACTGAATACCGTATCTATTTTATATAGTGAACTTGTTTGCTCACAGCGCTAGGAGAAGAATGTATGCATTTTATAAAAACGTGAATAATTAATGATTCAAGGAATAGAATTGAAATTAGTTAGAAGAAAAAAATAAGAATCTTTTTTGGTAATTTATTTTACTTCTTTTTGTACAAAAAAAAGATAGATTAGGCAATAAAATGTGGCAAAGATGAAGCGAAAATAAGAATACGAATTGATCGGATTAATTCTATACTGATGCCAAGTAACTTGTTACAAGCTTTACAATATGCATTTATTAATTAATAATCTTTTAGTTTGACCTTTCAACCCTTAAATTAGCCTAGTCTTAAAACTGATTTAATAATTTTAAGAAAATTACAGCATGACTGAA